TTACTCTCTGCATTATTAGAAATTTGGGCAGCACTTCCTTTAGAAAGGGAGACTTCCCAGATTTATACTAAGTCAGATATGAAAGCAGAATTAATTTCTAATTCTGGAAAGTCGAATTCTGTCTAACTCTCTGAATTAGTAGAAATTTGGGCAGCACTCCCTTTAGAAAGGAAAGGGAGACTTCCCAGATTTATACTCAGTCAGATATGAACTCGAACAATAGCTCGTGCTCAACTTTATACTGAATTTAACTAACTCCTTAATTTTGTAAAAATTTCGGCGGCACTTCCTTTAGAAAAGTGTTATTCCATAATTTTATACGAAGCGAGGTCCAGAATTTGAGAATAACTTTGACTTTTCAAAGTCCAATTTTGTCTAACTCCCTGAATTAGTGAAAATTTGGGCAACACTCTCTCTAGAAAAGGAGACTTTCCATATTTATACTAATCCATATATGGAAAAGACAAGTTGAACTTTGACAAGTCAAAAGTTGACTTACTTATGGGATTTGTAGAAATTTCGGCAGCGCTTCCCGTAGGAAAAGTAGCTCGCCAAGATTTATACAAAGCCAAGTATAAGAAAAAATCTCAGAAAATGCAGGAATTGACCTAAGTAAAAAAAACGTTATTATAGAAAATGCAGGAATCGACACTAACTCCTATGGCTCTAGCACGTGGCGAGCAGCTACAGCAACTACCTACAGTAATGGAACCCAAACAAACTAGTCATCCCATCCAGTCATATGCAAACCAAACCACGAATGTAAGTACTCTCACCCTCCCAAGTTTATTCCATATAAACAGTTCGTGAATCTTCAAGTTCTTGAATCCTTATACTCATCTTACATAAGACATAGAGCTGGACCATTCGCCATGGAAACAATGCCCAACTTGTCTTTATGATATACACGAACAGGTTGCACAACTACTTCTTTTTTCTTTTGGGCAGATGACTAGGTCATTCACCATGGAAACAGTGCTTAGCCGCCCTGAGCTGTTTAATATCCCAAGATTTAGTATTTCTCAGACTTTGTTTTCAAAAGAAAAAGCAAATATGGGCAGGGAACTGAACCATTCACAGTAGAAACAATGTTCAACTTGCCCAAACTATTTCCATTTATACTTTGTATTTTCTTTTTTCTCTTCTTAATGATATGGCTTAATGCTGGACCATTCACAGTAGAAACAATGCCCAGCTGCCAAGTCACATGCAAATATACATAAAATACTTTCCTTTATACTTAGTTTAAATTATGTGCGTGGTTTTCAGGCTAAGCCATTCACCATGGAAACAATGCTTAGCCTTAGACAAAAAATCCTCCCTCAGAATAAAACAAGAATTTAAACCCTTTCAATCARRCAAAAACCCTCAGAGTTAACTAGAGTAGCCAGRCCATTCAYAGTAGAAACAATGYCTGGTTCCCTAGAAAACAATAAAATAAACATAGCAACCAGACCATTCACAGTAGAAACAATGTCTGGTCCTTCAGAAAACAGTCAAATAAACATAGCCCTGAGTCATTCACAGTAGAAACAATGCTCAGGCTTTGGTTGACCCTTCCAAACGCATGCAAAACTGCCTTCCTYCYACCTTCCCCCMATTTATCCCTTTGTCTGCTTTCAGYCAGAATAAAGAAAAAAARYTTAGGCTTCACTCTCACACGTTCCTTCCATTCAATCTGATTAGGTCCTGAAGAGAAAGCAAAAACCATAGGGACAACACATGCATACCGCAATCATACTACAGGGAGATAGGCAAACATGGGTAGTAGTAGGTNATTAGGTCCTGAAGAGAAAGCAAAAACCATAGGGACAACACATGCATACCGCAATCATACTACAGGGAGATAGGCAAACATGGGTAGTAGTAGGTTTGTACAGATGGAAATGGTTTACCTGAAAGTTCCCTGCCTCCAGAACCTCGCCTAGGTTCCGGCAGAGCTCCCGCAATCGGTGGGTGGACTCCCCACAGAGTCTTGATGCGGACCTACGGGTTGCAATCCCGCCTGCCGCCTTCCCCTCGTAACCTGCAGACTAGACTTAGACTTAGAAAGATAGAGAGAGAAAAGTGTGAGACTCTCAGAAGGGTGCCCTTAGACTCACAAGAGAGGGCCTTGTAATCTTCATGCGCCTGAGGGCCCCGCAATGACAGCCATATAGCAACCGCTTGGTCAACCTGAAGTCAACCCACCGTCCTCACTCTCCTGACGAACCCCCACTTCGCAGCATTACTTCCCTTCTCAAAGCCCGAATGGCTGCTATTCAGCCTAGACGGCCGTTCTCGCATGGCCTACACTTGTCCTTTCACCTCAACGAAGTAGCGACACACAACGAACTGTGCCGCAACGCTCAGTGAAAGTACAGCAACGCCGCCGTAGCCCAGCGACTGCCACCACAACACAGCAACCTAGGTAGACCGCATTGTTCACAGCAATGGACAAACAGAAAATACTGCAGCCTTTCCGCTTGTTCCTCACTCCTTAGCCTTGGCTGTCCATCTCGTTGCCGTTTTCGACTCGCTGCCTCGTTTGCAATTCTGGCCAGCCGTATCCGAACAGAACCCAATGTCAACTCTCCGTAGCATACACAGTGTGAGGCCCGTCAGAGCACCGCAACCATGTGCCACAGCGGGACGCGAGAAAGCGGAGCAAGTGTATGGTTGTATACCAGCAGCAGACCCTGGGTAACACCCAGCGAAGTACGGTAACCAGCGGGAGCTCACACGCAAGCAGACGAAACCCAGGCAGCAGGACCGTGACAGAGGCACAGGCGGGGCAGTCCGCACACCCA